CTTTTTTAAAAATGATCTAATCAATATAAATTTTTTTTTTATAGTAACCTTAGATATTTACCTATCATTATATATATTTTTTTTTATAAATTTGACCCTTTCCCTGCCCACAGAAGGGGATTTAAAATGACAACTTTTTCACAAAAAATTAACTTTTTCAACATAACTTTTGAAAATGTTCCGGAAAGACTGACACTTTTATATATATCTTAAATTAAAGCTAATGTAATATACTTTAATTTGAAAAATAAAAATTTGACCTCTGGACTTGTCTTCATGGTGAAAATGACTACCGTATGCAAAAATATGCTATTTTTTTGAAAAAATTCTTGATATTATATTTTACATTTTTTAACATTATGTTGCTATAACTTTTTAAAAAATGCATGAATCAACTTTATTCTTTAATGATAAATACTTTATATATACTTCTTTCATTCGACATACTTTTTTTTAAAATCGGACCATTTCCCTTTATACAGGGGGGGTGCAAACCTTTTAAAATGCGTATAGAAAGTAGAACTTTTTCAACTTAACTTTTGAAAATGTTCCGGAAAGACTGACACTTTTATATATATCTTAAATTAAAGCTTATGTAATATACTTTAATTTGAAAAAAAAAAATTTGACCTCTGGACTTGTCTTCGTGGTGAAAACGGACATCAAAGTTAAAGAAAAACGTACGATTTCCGTGAAAAAAATCTCGATTTTATATGTTATATTATTTAATTTATATTTTATATAACTTTTGGAAAAATGTATGGATCAATATTATTATTTTTTTATAATAAATATTTATATACCCCTTTCATCTGGCACGCTTTTTTTGTAAATCGGATCATACCCCTTTAACAAGGGGGGTCAAAACTTTAAACATGCGTATTGTTACTACGATATTTTCAATTTAATTTTTGAAAGTATTCCGGAAATACTGACACTTTTAAATATATCTTAAATTAAAGCTTATGTAATATACTTTAATGTGAAAAAAAAAAATTTGACCTCTGGATTTGTCTTCATGGTAAAAATGACTACCGTATGCAAAAATATGCTATTTTTGTGTTAAAATTCTGGGTTTTGTATTTTATTTTATTTTAAAATACCTGACAAGGGGAGTACAGATTTTCATAAATATTATATAAATTAAAATTGATATAGTATAGATAGTTAAACTTATTTAAATATGTTTGTTTCTTTTAAGTCGAGAAAAATAACTTTGAAATTTGAACTAGCTTAAATAGCCAATTTTTTCAATCGACTGTATCGACGTACGGTTGCCCAGTTGGTAAAACTTATGTTTTACACGCTTGGGGTACGAGGTTCCAACCCGCTTATGGCAATGAATTTTTTGCATTTTTTCTTAATTCTTTTTAAGTTAGTATAAATTTTAACTCGTTTGATTTTTATCACATTTAGATTCAATAACTTCAATAAAGATCAAGGATCCCATNACTTCTATAAATATCAAGGATCCCATAATTTTAGTCGCCCCCTGTAAGAAGAAATTTCTTATTCGTATTAAAATTATTTTACTATATTTTAAGTTTTCGCTTCGATGCAAAGCCGAGAAGATATTTTTTTGTGACTATCATTTATTTTCTCTGCTCTAACTTGACCTACTTTTTTCAACAATACGTCAAATTACTACAATTCGTATCTAGTTGAAGATATTACTCTCAAAAATTGAAAAAAAAATTCTAATTTATCAATTAAACAGTTAGTTATTACATCGTCTCCATAAAGACAATTAAAATCATTAATTTCTAATGTTTTCAAAATATTTATTAACGAATGAAGTTTGATATGATAGGTTTCAACTACAAAATTAAATCATTTTACTTTGTAATTTAATAATTTTTTTACTCTATTTGTGTGTGCTACTACTAGACTATAATATTACAATTTTTTTGTAACATGTTGCTATATAAATAATTTCTAAAAAAGATGATGTTTTTTCTCCTGAATTAACAATTGATATTTTCAAATATAATAAAAATTGTATAATATGCTCAATTGAGTAAATCTTCTTAACAACTTTGTTTTGATTGGTACATTTAGTTAAAGTAAATCATTAAAATTAATTAAGTTCTGAATATTTCAATTGTAGAATCTTTTCTACAAACAACAAAAGTTACTAGGAAATTATTACTATTACTTCTATTTAAGTTATCTATTACGATATAAATGCAAAAAAATATTGTGCTTTTCAGATAAATTTACAATAAATAGTAATTATAAAACTTTCTGACTGCATATTAATCTTAACGATACAATTTTTTTAACTCTCATAAAATTTTCTATTTAATGATGTCAACTTCAAACTTGCCAATTGAGCTATAAGTTATGGTAAAATAATTTTTTTTTTTACTATAAACATTTACAACAATCAACTTTAAACGATTAAAAAAATAGGTTAAATATGTCATTTTCCTTATTAGCTTCGATGCGAAGCTGAGAAGGTATTAATTTTACTATGATGTGTTTTTTTAACTTATTAATAATCAAAATCAATATTAATTTAAAACAATTTTTTTTGTTCTTAATTATTTTTTTTTTTATGTAAATACTATTTTTTAATAATATTAAAACTTAGAAGTTATAGAAAAAGTCTAATTGCACATTTTAAAACATCGCGAAAAGTTGATTTAGAATAGTATATTTTTGTTTCTGATGGAAGTTCCTTGTAGTCCAGTGTATAAAACTTATAACTTTGTTAATTGTTATAACTTTATCAAAAATGACCAAATCAGTATATTTTTTTTTATTTAGATGCATGTCTTTATCTATCATTTGGTTTTTTTTATAAATCTAACCCTTTACCTGCCCACAAGAGGGATTCAAAATATTAACTTTTTTTTTTTTAGTTAAAGTAAATCATTAAAATTAATTCAGTTCTGGATATTTCAATAGTAGAATCTTTTTAAATATCAAAAATTACTTAGAAATGATTACTATGATTTCTATTTAAGTGTTCTATTACGATAAAAATGCAAAAAATAATGAGTTTTTCTGATAAATTTACAATAAATAATAATTATAAAACTTTCTGACTGCATATTAATCTTAAAAATAACATTGTTTTAATTCTCATAAAATTTTCTATTTAATGATTCATTCTAGTCAACGAAGGAGTAATTTTGCAGAATAGCAGAAAAAATTCCCAACCAAATTTTTTTTTTTTTGTTTTAATTAGGCAATTGGTGGATTATTCCAAAAGCAACATCAACTCTTATTTCTTTAATTATATCATGATTAGTAGTTCTTTGATTTTAAAATATAATATTTGAATATATACTAATTATAATTATTAAATTTAGTATGAAATTGATATTTAATATTGTAATTTAAACGGAGAAATTATAAAAATAATAAAGAAGTTATATTTTGCTTTACTTTTACGTGTATAAAAATTTAAAGGGCTTGATACAATAATTTTCAATAAAAACTGTTTGTTACTATAAAAAAATGCACTGGACTACAAGGAACTTTCATCAGAAGCAAAAATATACTTTTCTAAATCAAATTTTCGCGTTGTTTTCAAAACTACAAGTAGACTTTATCTATCAGTTCTAATTTTTTATATTATTACTAATTACATATAAAAAATAATTAAAAGAAAAAAAAATTGTTTTCAAATTATTACTGATTTGATTTTTAATATGTTAAAAATAATCAGTCCAAATTTTCATTTTTAACCTATTTTTTTGGTTCTTTAAAGTTGATGAAAAATTTTTGATAAAGATTTATGAAAGTTTATAGTAAAAAAAATTGAATATATTACCATAATATTTAGCTCAAATACAAGTTTAAAATTGACATCTAGGCCAGTCAACAAAGGAAAAATTTCTTAAAAAATTCCCAACCAAATATTGTTTTATTAATAGTTGAATTAAAATATGTATAATGACAGACTAATAGTCCTCATTGATTGAAATTGAGCTTTTTTTTTACAGCCTCGCAAAAGTTCAAAAATATGAGCTTTTTTAATTTTGTCAAAAAATATTTAACTTACAAAAAAATTTTCGCACAAAAGTTGTTAAAAAAACAATTATAAACAAACAAATTATTTTATCGTTTTTCATTTAAACAAATATTTTTCGAGTTACATTACATTTACATTTACTATCTCCCACATCTTCTAGGCTCATATCAACTGTCCTCGAATCGCATTCAATAGCATCCCTTCATCTCTTTTTTGGTCTTCCTCTATTTCATCTTCCTTCAACATTCATTTCTATAACTGTTCTTACAGCTTCCGATTCTTCTCTCCTCATAGCATGACTAAACAATCTAAGTCTATTTTCTGTCATCTTATCCACGATTGATTAACCCAACTTCCTCTTATATGCTCGTTCCTTATCCTATCTTCTCTAGTCACTCCACTCATCCAACTAAGCATTCTCATCTCTGCTACACTTATTCTCTGCTCTACTTTCTTATCAACCGCCCAACACTATGAACCATACATCATAGCTGGCCTCACAATTTCATACTGAATTTGAAAACTATAATTAGTCTTTATTCATATATTATATTTTAAAATCAAAGTACTACTAATCAGAATATAATTAAAGAAATAAGAGTTGATGTTGCTTTTGGAATAATCCACCAATTTCTCTAAATGAAACACTATCTACAGATTTGCATCGAAGCGTTCCTTATGATAGTGATTTTAATCACTGTCAGATATCATAATACTTGATCCAACTATGCCACGTCACCACTGTGCCGCGACCCCCCTGTGCTGGGTTTTTTAAATTAAAAACTCACATTTAAGTATATGTATCAATCTAAAAAATTTTTCTTAAATTTTGTCTTTGGAGGAAATTGTTGCTAAAGGCAAAAAGTTCTTCGGTTTCTTTTAATGGTGGGCTTTTTGTTATTTTTTATTTCTTTCACAATATCTTTTAACATGTATTGGGCACATGAAATTAAATTACTCGTATAGTGTGTAGTATGTTCGTTCTAAAATGTGAACAGCTTATTGAGACATTCACGTTGAAGTATTTTATATGATCAGTACCGTGCTATTATTGGTGCCTAGGGCAGATATATTTGGCGCCTCTCTTTAATATATTTTTAAATAAAATGCATCTTATGTAAAATGTATTCATATTTATTTAGCGCTCTAGGCCACTTGCTATTATTGCCCCTCCAGTATGGCTCTTTGATATTGATGTTAATTGCCATGAAATTTCTTGCTGCACTTAGTGTACAAGACAGGTTCTTAATGCTGGTTCCGACTGCAGTTTTTTTTAAATAAAATATTGATCTATGTTAAAAATGTATTTCTAGCTAAAAGTAACATTTTATAATATGGTCATCTAACGATAAAAGAATATTTTTAATCTGAAAAAGTTTTTTTGTTATAATCTGTAGTGATTTTGTAGAATAATTGTCCACTCCAAGTAATATCTTTACCGTATAATTATAATCGTAGAGTTTTGTCCCTCATAATTCCCTGGAAAAAACGTCCATATTCAATGTTCCGTAGCAACCATATTATACCTTATTGCAGACGACCGTGAAGATTGAAAATTTTTTTTTTTTTAAGTAAAAGTAATTCAAATTATTCTTGGTATTAAAAAAAAATAACAATTTTAATTTATTATTACCAACATTTTTAAATAAAATCATTAAAAATATTAACTAGAAACAAAAAAATCATATCAATGATAAAAAATCATTACATGTATAATAAACAAAATTAACAACTTCCGTTTTAACATTGAAAATGTTGAGATCATTTATTTTCTAAGACCATTTGAATTTTATCATTATTTCGATTTAATTAAGAAGTGATAGTAATATTCACCATTGTTGTATATTACATTTTTGTAATTAACGGTAAAGTTTACACATTAAAAAGATACAAGAAAATTATGAAATGACCTAGCTAAATATTTCAATTTAAATTATCTACTCGTGTTTAATTACGGAAATATAATTTGCTAAATATGTATTCGCTGGTTTTTTTAATTTTGTAAAAACTATCAAAACGTTATTTATTTTAATAAAGCATCGCAACACATTTATGTGCTATAAGTTGCATAACCAAAACTCCGGCTTATCAAATTAGTGGAAGAACAATGTAAAGTTTTTTTTGTTCTACAATATCTAGAGTGAACTCGAATGAGGAGTTAAGTAAGATTTTTCTAGTATATATTTTTAAAAGACAACTAAAAAATTGTAATAATTTTACAGAAAAGTATTAAAAAGCTTATATTCCTATTTATTATTATGTAACTTTACTTGATTTATAATATTTTTGTTTAAAAAAAAGTATAGTTTTTATACGAAATTCTCGTTATAATTTCTTCAATATGTTGAGTGATATTTATAATTTATGATTCTACCGGTTGGCTATCAAAGTCAAATTCCTGTGATAGACTGGTAGGGTAGACAAAAGGTGACTATCATTCGTATTCTTTAGAAATATTTACTTAAACCTCGTGTAACATTGAAATTGCTTCAAATACAAGTGAGAGATTCAGCGCCTTGAGGCAGTTTGAATTTTTTGATGCCCTTCTAAAATTTTTTGTTGAGCAAACAAATTTATTAGATTATCCTGAAAGAAATTCTTGATCGCGTCATTATTATATCCCTAGATAACCCACTTATGAAAACTTATAATACGCATAAATACAAGAACATAACATACGTGCTTACCTGAAATTTATTAGATTCATCATCTATAGCATTCCCAACAGTCTTAGAGACGCCTTTTTCGTTTTTCACCGAAGCCATTACGCCGTCCTTGGTTTGAATTATTTTTTGTTATTACATATCTGAATCAAAAGTCAAGCATTGATCCAGAAAATTTTCAAACGCCTAAACTTTTCAGTTCATGCGCTTAAAATATTATCTATGTTTATAAAATTTAGATCCAAATTAAAGATTGGGATTACATTTTAATACAATTACTCAATATTTTTGTTGAGTACTGTATAAAAATTAATATCATAGCTTAATTAAAATACTGTTGTTTAAAATACAGGTATTGCGACAACCGTGGTCTTCTAACTAATTACAACTTTAGTAATTTCTGTGTTCATATCTAAGTAACTTTTTCTGACTAAATCTGCAATATGCATTAGTTTCTAGAAAAAAATATTTGAAGGTATCATTTATATTTTCTCCTACCTTATGATATATTTTTATATAACAATACAGATATTTGAAAAAAAAAATGTTAGGAGTTACTAAGCCCTCTAAAGACTCCTTAGTTGCATCTTTGTGAGATATAAAGTTCAATAAGTATGTATGTATATTTTCATTTGTCGTTATCAAAGTAACTTTCGGGGCTAATGTGACGGTAGATTCTGGAAGAGGGGCTGCTTGTGAGCTTTCAGCCGCCACCGCAAGCGTGCGCTGGTCGTAAACGACGGTGAGTAGTCAAGCCGGCCGGCAACGAACGGTCGGACAGTTGTCGGAACATTAATCGGCGACAGCCAAACGGCACCACTCGCGAGTTGGTAAACGTGTTGTGTGTAAATGCGTGTGCGCATGATGACGACATAGCACCCGCGTGTGAACAGTGTTCATTTTGAGTTTAAATAAGTGATCAAAGTGAATTCCGTTTAAATTAATTTCAAGTCGTGCCGGATTCAATTGGAAAATTTAATTAATGTGTTCTAACCAACTGAAGCTGTTTGTTTAAAAATTTAAGTGTAATATTGTAAATGCCAAATTGATGGATTATCAAATAATGCAGTTTAATGTAAGTTAATAAATAATCATTCATTTTGTTATTAAACATTTTTTTCAATTATTTTTTATTTTAATTAATTTAGCGAGGATTTTATTATTAGCCGAGTTTTAATACATAAATTTAACATTAATTATGTTAAAAATATTACGAATTACATTTATGTTTACATGGTTTATAGTTTTTTTATGAAAGAAAATGTTTGTAATTTTCAATAATACATTTTATTATATTCTGTATTTATGTATATACAGAATGTCCACTGTGATATATTACTTTGAATATCCGAGATATTCAAATAAGTAAATCACTATAGGTAATGTATGCTTTAATAATTATAAATTAAAAATCACTTTTATGTCAAATTTAAATAGTAAAAATATATCATAATGTGCATCAAGCAGGTTGGTCGACCTTTGCATCCTTAAAATTTTTTAAAAAGCGTTATATTGTATGAAAGGCTCTATTTTGATGTATTTTATTTGTAAATACTAAATATCTAGTCATTCCAAAAATTATTTACGTTTGTAGTGCTCTTCAAATGTTTTTTATCTATCTATATAGGTTGAACAGATTAAAATGACAACTCGTATAACTTTTGATATGATCAAAATTTCGTTATACTTTTTTTTTTAAATAATTTATGATTTTTTAGACTACATTAAAATCGTTTTTCGTTTATTGAAAAAAAATAAAAAAAAAAAATAATAAAAACTTATTTTATTAAAACGTTTTTTTTTTAAATTACAAAATAGCCAATTTTTAAGCACTTTTCTTATAAAATAAATATTAATGAGTCGATAAAAATATTAAGACGAGTAATAATTGTTAAATTATTTTCTTTAGCTTAATGTTTTTACTTTTTTAAAGTTGTTTTGACGTTAGTATCAAGTAATAGAAACTGTATAAATAAATAAACATACTCACATATAATAATACAATTATAATGTATAAATACAATTTTTCAAACATCTTTGTATGAGAAAATTAAATAGTAATTTAAAAAAATTTGGTTAGTGTATTAGTTAGAAAATAATTAAATATGTATTGTTATTAAATATAATTTCTGTATTTTTTTTTTTAATTGTTGGAAAAACAGCAATCTTTTGATTGAAACTTATAAAAATGTACAGCTGAATCAATCGATTATGATTGATTCAATTATATAACTTGATAAATTTTGTTATTTTACAAGGGCGTTAATAATGAGGGTTTGAGGATATCAGAGCATTCAACTTCTTATAAATTGCAAAAAAATGTTAAAAGTGATTAGATTATATTAAAAATTTTTAAATAAGGGCTTATGATTTCATCTACTCCAATAAAATATTTATACATTTGCTCGTATTATTGATATTTTGTATTTATTCAAGAAAATTGGAAATGATAATGACATTACTTGAGACGGTTGTAAAAAATATTATGTATTATAAGGTGATAACTAAAATAAAAACAAAAACACAAGAGGTTTGGTCGATCTGGTTTTATGTCTTATTTTTCAACAATAAAACTACCTATCTGTATATTAATACATTTTTTTTATACATTATTTTATTAATGATATCAAGTTTGAATATATCGATTGTTTATTACTTAATTAATTATTCAAGACATTTCTGTATGAAACGTTTCAAAAATCAATAGTTATTTACATTAAGCTGTTAAAAATAAATATTAAAGCATTAAATATTTTAGAATAGAAATCGTATTTTCTTTAAACTTATCAACGAGTGCTTACAATTAAAATGTAAATATAAAATTAGTTTATAAAATCAAAGAATTACTTGGAAGAGGAGTGTAGGTTTTTTTAGAAAACTCTACTAGAATAGTTTATTGAAGGGAATCTTAACAATTTAATTATAGAGTAAACAAATTTAAGTAAGATCTATTAATTTTTTTTCTATATAAAATTAGATAAAAAGTTTTTCCTTTTATATCAATAACATTGTTTTAATTTAATAAACAAGGTTATTATAAGGAACGAAAGTATAAGTTGGTTCGCTGATGATATAGTGTTAATAGGAGAATATAGGGAGGAAATTAATCAAAGGCTAAAAGAAAGTTTTAAGTATTTAGAATCAGTTGTACAAAAAAACGATGGTATTGACGAGGATGTAAACACAAGATTAATTACAGGTGATTGAAGTGAAGAGAAGCGTCTGGTGTGTTATATGATAAAAGAATACCAATGAGTCTGGAGGGTAAATTCTATAAGACTGTAGTGAGAATAGCTTTGATGTATGATTCAGAGTGTTGGGTGGTTGACAAGAAAGTGGTGCAGAGAATGGGTGTATCTGAGATGAGAATGCTTAGATGGATGAATTAAGTGACTAGAGAAGATAGGATAAGGAACGAGCATAAGAAAGAGAGTATAGTTGTAGCGTTAATAGTGGATAAGATAAGAGAAAATAGACTAGTATGGTCATGTTGTGAGAAGAGAGGAATCGGAAGCTGTAAAAACAGTTATGGAAATAAATTTTAAAGGAAGAAGAGGTAGGGGAAAACCAAAAAAAAAATGGAGGGATGTTATCGAATTCGATGTGGGACATCTGATGTGTGCGTAGGTGGTAATATNTGTAGATACTAAATTTGACATACTTTTTTGCTTCGATGCGAAGCTGAGAAGGTATTAGTTTTACTATGATGCCTTTTTTTTTGTGTCTGTTACATTGCTTCGATGCAAATTTGTAGAAAATGTTTAATTTTAAAAAGTTATTGGCTTATTCCAAAAGTAGCATGATCTCCTATTTCCTTATTATATTCTGACTACAAGTTTTATGATTTATAAGTGTAATATATGAATAATTATACATATATATATAAATAGTACTTCTCTTAAAATAATATAATGATCCATATATTGTTCAAAAAGTTATAGCTTTATAAAGTTAAAATATAAAAAATAATTTTTTTAAAAAATCGATTTTAGCTACCATGCGAAGCTGAAAAACTATTAATTTTACTACGATGTGTTTTTTTTATTTATGCCTGTTATCACTTTTTCTCAGATATAACCAAACCGATTTCTTTCAACGATACGATAAAAGATCACAAATCGTATATAGTCGAAGACATTACCCTCAAAAATTAAAAAAAATTCCCTCGTTTCCCGTAATTGGGGGAAACATCCAAAAAAATTACAAATTTAAAAATCGCTAATTTTCGAAATTTTTTCATTTTTTTTTACTTAAAACTGCCATAACTTTTTCAAAAATGACCAAATCAATATAATTTTTTTTTTATAGATGTATGATGTCTTTACCTATAATTTTTATATAAATTTGACCCTTTACATGCCCACAGGAGAGAATTTAAAATGACAATTTTTTCAACTTAACTTTTGAAAGTGTTCCGGAGATTCTGACACTTTTATATATCCCTTAAAGTAAAGCTTATGTAATATATTTTATCATGGACAAAAAAATTCGGACTTTATTTGGCTTCACGGTGAAAATGGATACCGTATGCTATTTTTGTGTTAAAATTCTCAATTTTATATTTTACATTTTTAACTTTATAATACTATTACTTTTTTAAAAATTTATGGATCAATACCATTTTTTTATGAGAAATAATATTTATATATCTCTTTCATTCGACATACTTTTTTTTAAATCGGACTATTTCCTTTAATACAAGGGGGGGGGGGGGNATCTTTCATTCGACATACTGTTTTTTTAAATCGGACCATTTCCCTAAATACAGGGGGGATTCAAAACATAAAAATGCATATAGAAAGTAGAACTTTTTCAACGTAAATTTTGAAAATGTTCCGGAAGTACTGACACTTTTATATATATCTTAAATTAAAGCTAATGTAATAAACTTTATGATGGAAAAAAAAATTTCGGACTTTAATTTGTGTTCATGGTGAAAACAGACGTCAAAGTTAATTAAAAAATACGATTTTTGTAAAAAAATTCTTTTAGCTTCGATGCGAAGCTGAGAAGGTATTGGTTTTACTAAGATGTGTTTTTTTTTTTTTTTTTTTGTCTGTTACCACTTTTTCTCAGCTCTCACCGAACCGATTTCTTTCAATGATACGTCAAAAGATCACAAATCGTATCTAGTCGAAGACATTACCCTTAAAAATTGAAAAAAATTCCCTCGTTCCCCGTAAAAGGGGGAAACCTCCAAAAAAATTACAAATTTAAAAATCGCTAATTTTCGAAATTTTTTCAATTTTTTTTACTTAAAAGTGCCATAACTTTTTCAAAAATAAACATATCAATATAATTCTTTTTTATATAGATGCATAATATCATTACCTTTCATTTGGTATATTTTTTTCATAAATTTAACCCTTAACCTGCCCACAAGGGGGGATTTAAAATGACAACTTTTTCACAAAAAATTAATTTTTTTAACTTAAATTTTGAAAATGTTCCGGAAGGTCTGACACTTTTATATATATCTTAAATTAAAGCTAATGTAATATGCTTTATCATGAAAAAAAAAAATTTCGGACTTTATCTTATCTTCATGGTGAAAATGGCTACCGAATGCTATTTTTGTGTGAAAATTTTCGATTTTGTATTTTCCATTTTTAACTTTATTATGCTATAACTTTTTGAAAAATGTATGAATCATTACAATTTTTTTATGAGAAGTAGTATTTATATAGATCTTTCATTCGACATACTGTTTTTTTAAATCGGACCATTTCCCTAAATACAGGGGGGATTCAAAACATAAAAATGCATATAGAAAGTAGAACTTTTTCAACGTAACTTTTGAAAGTGTTCCGGAAGGTCTGACACTTTTATATATATCTTAAATTAAAGCTAATGTAATATACTTTATAATGGTAAAAAAAAATTTCGGACTTTATTTTATCTTCATGGTGAAAACAGACATTAAACTTAATAAAAAAAATACGATTTTTGTAAAAAAATTCTTTTTTATATTTTTAACTTTATAATGCTATAACTTTTTGAAAGATGTATGGATCAATATAATTCTTTTTTTTGTAGATGCATGATGTCTTTACCTATCATTTGGTATATTTTTTTTATA